CCGTTGTAGGATTCGGACCGGTGCAGCCGATCCTGAAGTTCAAAACTATAGAAGAAGTGATTAAAAGAGCCAACAGCCTGGAGTACGGACTCACGGCCGCCGTGTTCACGAAAAGCCTGGACAGAGCGCTGGAGCTCGCCTCCGCGTTGGAGTCGGGGACTGTCTGGTGAGTGGAGCGGGTGCGCGTCCCCACTGTCCCAGGGGCTGGCCGGCCGGCTGGCTTCGCGACTCCTGTGAGCGGAGAGCTTGGCAGTCATGTGTCTTGGGCCAGGCGCTCTCTCTCTGCTTGGCTCGACCCTCCTTGAGCCCCTCCTGAGATGGGGACCATTGTCATCTCCATTTTGTAGATGATGAAATGTGCGCGCAGCGAGGTGGAGTGACCTGCCCAGGGTCACACACCAGCTCACCAGCACGTGGGCTGCCTCTCGGACTTCACTGCTTAAGGCTTTATTTTCTATTCTCTAATTCTAAAATCAGCTCATGCTCTTGTGCTCATACGGATGAACGTCCCCGCTTCACCAGTAATTCTACAGATCACATCGTCCTCGTTTATAGACGATATTAGACAGTAGTGATTAATCGGGTCCCAGAGAGGCCACGGCCGAGAAGCAGAGCTTTGAGCTCAAGTCTGTCTCGTTTCAAAACGAATTCTTATTCCTCTGTGCCATATTTTGCATCTCCTTTCTCCGTGTGTCATTTCGTTTCTATCCCAATGAAAAGCTTTATATTTAAGAATATTCCAATTTCAGTGTCTGGTGAGAAGAATGGGAACGCAGAAGTCGAAAGCACGATGTTTTTATTATGAAAACTTTGACAAAAAGTCGTTCTTTGGGCCACACTCTGCGTCAAGCACCGTGTAACCAGAACGCCCGGGACGCAGCTGAGTGTCCACCAAGTAACCGTGAGCTCCCTTCTGTTCTCTCTCTAGGATCAACTGCTACAATGCCATCTACACACAGGCGCCGTTCGGTGGCTTTAAAATGTCGGGAAACGGCAGAGAATTGTAAGTGTTTCTGTCCCTCCGCGCCTGCTGGCAGGGCGAATGAAAGACACACTAGATTTGCGGGTGGTGGCATGTGCTCCAGTCCACTGGCTCTTGCCTGGCCTCCTGTGTGTTCATCTGGATCCCTCCCTGCCTCCTGCCCCCCGCCTCTGCCCATCCCCACCCCCATTCTCATGCTGCGCCCCTTCCTCCCCAG